TCCCATAGAAACAAGTCTGAACAATTTTTAATTGAGCTGTGTTTACAATACAGGGCAGTGTTCCCATAAGAGTGAGGGATGACTGTCAAGAAGTATCCTCCTACAGATGCTCACTCAGGGGCACATTCCCCACATTGGGGATTTTGGAGACATGACAGCACTGGAAAAGGGTGTTCACAGAGTTGTCCAGAACATGCAGTGCAGTGCACTATTTCAGAACTATAGGAGGAGGGGGGCCAGAGTAATATTTATTTTAAGTTGGGGCTCTCAATATACAACAGTTGAAGCTCAAACTGGCAGGAAGAATGATTTCAGACCACCTGTCTCCACAAAGAAGAGGTTGTAAGTACACATATCATCAAATATTCTTAGAAAATTATCTCTTACACTTAAAAATATTCACATGCTTCTGGAAAACTGAAGGACTCAAATCCTGGACCTGCCCTGAAGCCTGAGTTGTGCTCCACTAGCTACCTGAACCTCCCCACTGGGGATGCTCTGTCATCCTGGCCCACCCTTGGGTATTGTTCCATTATCTTTTTGTACAAAGAATTCTGTTAGTTTCTTATGTTAAAAAAAAAAACTATTCACACACACACATATTTAAAGTCTTTAAAAACTATGTTAAGGCAAGGGAGAAAACTCAGCTATCATTATACACTAGGACCCAATTGTGTGGCAGTGCATTTATTAACATATTTGGAATATGTGTATTTTAAATTTCATTATAAGCACATAAAATGCAAAATACTGACATGTACCATGCACCCCCATGTGCAAACACATATGTTGAATGCACACACATACATGCACGCACACACATTTCATTTCCTCTGAGAAGGGACAGTATTTATAGTCTTATCACAACGCTGATGTCTGCAGGATGCCTTCAGATCCAGGACTTTAACCTACACATAGCAGATACCTAGGAAACTGCTGGATTCAAGGAAAGCCTCTCTGTTTTTTTGTCACCACTCCTTATCCCCTCTTCTTAAGATCAGAAGAGCTGTGATTTTCATGTAACAACAAGAGGAACTTAACTCGTTTGACTGTACACTAAGTGAGAAATACAAATTTTGCAAGAGAAAAATTCAATGCATGCTAGTTTTACAAGCAGGTTGTGAAAATGATTCTGTAGCTTTGTTCCTGGAATAAATAGATGGGGTAGATATGGTTGAGATGTTTGGATTCTCAAAAGGGGGTTGGTCTGTGATCTCCAATTTACATGAGAAATATTTCTAAGTGTCAATGAAACCTCTACTCCACAGCAGACACTGCTGGCCACATATGACTTCCAGCTGCAAACCCTGTGATCAAACCAATTTCTCCATCTAGTGCAAGGCAAACAGCGCTCCACTTCTGTCCAGACATGTGGTCCTATCGAAGCAGGAGTCCCTAGCTCCTGTTCACAAAACATCAGCCCTGGTCTGCTCCCAGAAATGTTGAACCTGAAAGCTCACCTATACAGGACAGCCAATGTAGTAGCTGAAGAAACACTTGCGATGTGGCAGCAGATCAACAGGTGATTCACATGGCTAAGGAACCCTGGGAAATGGAAGGCGCTCCTGTGAGACCAGCACCTGTGATCTGAATAGGGACCATACCCACGGTGCAGGGACAGTGATGAGAGGCTTCACCAGCAACAGAGTGGGGACTAGAACAGGCAGATTGTCAAAGTACACTGCTGAGGGGGGCAGCGGTCGAGGCAGGAGAGTCAGGACACCATGTGGATCACCTCCTGGACCTCCCTGGCCTGGGGTAGAACTAGTGCTGAAGTGGCTCCAGCTAAAGTGGCTGCACTTCACAGTGCTGTGCTTTAACCGTTTCACCACCAGAGAGGGCCCTTCATTGATTATCTGTGAAGAGGTTCAAAAAAAAACCCTGGTGAGTCTGCCCAACACTGAACAAAGGTTGGTTACTGCTGGGCAAGTAGGGAGTTACAGGATTTTCTCACTATTTGAAGTAAGGAATTCTTAAAATCATTTCATAAGCCAAATGATATAGGGGAAAGAAGCAATTGCCATTATTCTACAAACAACCTACTAAATCATACCAATAACATACAAAACCTAAAATAATACTAATGTATAATAAAAGCAGGAATATGATCAATACACAGCCTGTCAAAATGAGTTCCAGGGGAAAAGCTTGCAGATATCATTGTTGATATGCTGCCTGAGAATGGTTACTGCAAAACAAGCACTGGACATTATTTATGATCTTTGTAGAATTAGAGAAAAGTCTTTTTAGTTTTCTTTTGTTTATGAAATCAGGGGCTAATAAGAGACAAAGAGAGGCATTACATAATGAAAAAGGCTCATTGCCAGAACAAAGGTATCCACCCTAAATGTGTATGTACCAAAAAACAGTTTCAAAGCATAGGTAGCAAAGTCTGAAAAAGCTAAACAGAAAAACGCCCACATCTGTAATTGTAGCTGAGACCTTGAATGTAAGCCTTCCTAGCAACGATGTAATTATCATAGAAAACACAAGCACGACACAGATCTGAATAACACAACAAATGAATAGCATGTACATGAAAAGAAAGGAACATGCCGCCTACAACAGCAGAATACACATTATTTGTTCAAGTGTCTATGTAATACTCACCAAGATAGACCATCTTCTGGACCACCAAACACATCTCAGTACATTTGAAGAGAACTGAAATCACACAAAATAGGTTGTTCTCTGGTCATAACTGAGTAAAATTATTAGTCTGTATAAGAAAGATTTTTTTAAAAAATGAATCCTTAACTACTTAGAACTGGTTGTTGACATTTCTCTACTATTTGTCCTTCAGTCCCTTCATAGAAAGAACTGAGGTTAGGAAGAGCAGGAGGCATTTCATTCGCACAAAAAGAAAGCTTTGGATATTTCAGACAGAATATTGTTAACAGCAAGACTGGAGGGAGTCTTGTCAGAGACTGTTTGTTCCTGATCACAGATTATTGGGGGGGCAGACAGGCAGGGTCTCAAGGAAGGGGTGGCATAGGCCAGCGGAAATTCCTAGAAAAGAAGGGAAAAAAGGGGAGCGGGCGCAAGGAAGACACGGGAACGGGAGTGGGGTGCAAGTCTTCCTGCTCTGCCTTCAGCAGAGGTTTATTTTATACATTTCAAGCAGGCAGAGGGATGTCATTAGCATATGAAATGGGCTGAGATCACAATCACCTTTTTTCTAATAGCCTGGAGTCGTTTTGACCTTTAGTTGAGATTATAACATTTTTAAAATTAATCTATCAAGGTAAAACCAGGTACATAGATTCACAAAGTTTAAGACTAATATTACCATATTTATCACAGTGAAGATTAACCAAAATAAAGTCCCTTAAACCTTATCTATTAATTAACGGCTTTCATTCTCATAGAGACATCCTAGGGGGTAAAGTAAAGTGAGGGCAGGAAGAGGAAATTTCTTGCAAATCAAATTACAGTAAAGTTCTTTGAAACACTTATTAGAAAGTTTAAGTGAGTTTCCTTGAAGTCTAGACCTAGAAAACCTGATTAGCTCTGAATAGGCAACTTGGGTGAATTTCCTTATCTAAAGACTAGATAGTAGAAAGCTTGAGTTGTTATTTAGAAACTGAATAGAAGGCTAGGTGAGACAGTAGAGTGATAAGGTTTGGGTTTTCCTCCATAGGCAGTGAGAGACTTTGCAGTAATAACCATTTGCTTTTATTAATCAGCCAGTTGTTTAATGACTTGACTTCAAGAGGAATTTCTCACCCTGGTGCAGTGCTTGCTTGTCAGAGCCAGGTAGCACTTTATGAGGCTGAGACAATCCAATTGTAAACTGAAGGTTGCTCAGAATATTTTGATATTACGATTATACAAAAAAAAGGAGGTCATAACATAAGTTAGCATGGAAAGTCTGATTTTTCAGAGCATTTCCCCTCCATCCGTACTGTGTCTGTCGACAGAGGTTGCATAGCTTGTGTCAGAGTCTGCTTAAAAGATGATTACACCGGGCCCTCCCTGGTGGCGCAGCAGGTTAAAGCACAGCACAAAGAAGCTTAAGCCACTTCCACATGAGCTCGATCCCCGCCTGCCCCGGAGGAGATCCACATGGTGAGGCAGACCTCTCCTGACCCGCCCGCTGCTCCCCTCAGCAGTGTACTTCGTCGATCTTCCTGTTCTGCTCCCTGCTCTGTCTCTGGTGAATCCTCTCACCCTCCACATCTCTGGGCTGTACCACAGTTCGGTATGAATAAATAAATAAATCTTTAAAAAAAAAAAAAAAGAAGGAAAATAAAAAAAAAAATGATTACATCATTTCTACCTGACTTTAAAGCTTGCAGTAAAATGGCAAATAATTACAATGTGCAGATTGTTAGCTAAAGTACTGTTGCTGATTGGATCTGGGAAGCTTGGATATGTTGCCTTCCAGGTATTGACACCTGCAGTTGCTAAAGAGACCTGAGGACTCAAATGCCTTCCTAGTCTAATAGTCAAGCACCTCCTTTCTTTATAAAACACTATTCCATATTTTAAAGAGTTTCAACAGTTTTTTCCTCTTCTTCATTATACTCTTCCTCCAAACTTTTTCCCCTGAGAGTGGTATTTCTCAGATAAACCTCTCCTATCTTTTTTTTTTTTTTTAAGATTTATTTACTTGTGCATCCAGAGTTGGGGTACAGGCCAGAGGTGCAGGGTGGTGAGAGGATTCACCAGAGGCAGAGTGGGGAGCAGAAAAGGATGACTGATGAAATATACTGCTGAGGGGAGCAGAGGGTGGGTCAGGAAAGGTCTGCAGTGCCTTGTGGGTCACCTCCAGAGCAGGGAATCAAACTCATGCTGAAGTGGCTTTAGCTTCTCTGTGCTGTGCTTTAACTTGCTGCACCACCAGGGAAGGCCCTAAACCTTTCCTATCTTAACAGGCAGATACTATTCCTTTTGGGAAGGTTGACACTTTGCTTGCACTACTACAGTGTTAGCTTTAGGGATGGTACTTCGTGAATCACTGATATGTCTTCAAACTTAATTTTTGTGCCTCTTTTCAGAATACAATTATGATAGTAACTCACCTCAAGGAAGAAAAGGAGATTGCAGCTCTTTCGAAGATATCTGTGATAAGGGTGACGCTTACTATGAATTCAGTGAAGGCAGTGCTCAGCCCTCACACTTCCATGAAGAGAACGGAAATGGGGAAATGAGAGACGACCAGGAGGACTCGGAAGAAAATGGGTAAGTGGTCAGGCAGCCTGGTTTGCGTGTAGCAGCTCCTGGGACTATACAACAACTGTATTCTCATGGTTTTCTTTTTCTTCTCTCACTGAAAAACTGAAGGAAGCAAGAGGTGAATTAGGACTGAGCGATCCCAATACTAGTCAAGGTGTCAGGTGAGGCAATGGTATGTAGAAGACACTCCTAGCACTTATGTGCTCCCTGCTTCTCTCCCCTTCCCTGCAGCACTGCCTACAACCTCCATGTCAACAAGAAGAGAGTGAAATGGCAAAGTGAAGGCCGCATCCATATTACTGTGTGGAGAGAGAGAAAACATGAGGAAAAAGAAAAGAAAGAGAAAACACCTGAAAGAACTCTGGGAAACTGGTTCCGGATCACAGTGGGTGTCCTGGAAAACATGCTGTATGCAGGAGAGAGGCTCAGGGACAGCTGTGCTGGTCTACTACAGAAACCTCGCTGCTCTGCTGGGACAGTTTATACTCTCTTCCTCATATTCAAGGAGTTGATATTCTTAGCTCAGGGCAAATTCAGAGAAGACACATAAAGGGAACCGCTGAGTGTAGGGAGGATGGGGAGGTTATCTAAAGGCACTGCTGGAAACCACTTCCAGGAGGTGGTGCAGCTGCAGACCTGATGTCTCAGTTTACCTCTAGCCTCAGTTTACCTCCACCTAAGTGTGGCTGACGTGGGTTGGATCTTTTGAGACAGTCTTTGATATGCAAGTGGCTCTTACTAGCTATGATCATGTGGAACTGTGTAAAAGGAAGCTAATATGATTCAATTATTTGGGGAGATGTTTGAATGGAGAGAAAGGGGGTAGAAGGAATCTTTATTAGGCACAGAAATAAGAAATCAAGCCCATGGGTCCATGTTTAGAAGCCCTTTACAGCTCAGCAATGGGTCAGAATAGGACTCATGTTGGCTCTGTTCTCTGGCTTATGTTCCATGTTCACTCTCCTCTTTCTCAATCCCTTTTACTTTCAGATACTTAATGGGATAAAGTATGAGAAAGCTTGGCTAATGAATTCACTCCAGACCTATTGCAGTGTCCCCTTCATTCCAGTGGATGTAAGAGAAGATGGTGAAGGCAGATGAGTGGGGACAGGGAAGGGGGTGGGGAGGGGAGTAGCCTGAACAGGAAATTTCTGCATCCCAAAATGATTGTTGTACCCCCTCCTGCAGTTCCATTATGTGAAAAACTGGGCTCGGTTCTTTGTCCAGGATGCCAGCGCTGCCTGTGCGCTGAGGGATGTGAGCAATAAGATTTATGATGATGAGAACCAAAAGGTGTGTGTCTAGACATTACCGGTACAAAGTGCTGGGGTAGGAAGAATTGCCAGTGGTTGATCACCCTGCCCCAATACCCCAATATGTATCTTGTCATTCCCCCAGATATATATTGTTGTCAATAAGTCTGCTGAACCCTACTCTGTGCAGAATATGTTGGATCCAGAAAAAATGCAGAAGCTAGAGGTAACACAGACTCGGGGCATGTTCCCTGCCCACCCATACCCCCAGCCACGTCTTCTGCCCCAGCCTGCACTTTCCTGTATCCACCACAGACTCAGAGTGTCCCTCTTCACCTCTCCCCTCAGCTGACCATGAAGAAGCGATACATTGTCTCCAAGCAAGCTCTTGACCTGCACAGGCTCCGCTTTGACCCAGGTATGAACATCTGGCAGCAGTCATTCCAGGGCAGGTCAGCATGGAGCTAACTCACTGAGAGGGAGATTTTGGAATGGTAACATGAGAAGGGGTTGCAGCTAGCCCTGGAACCCTCTCACAGTCTTGATTCCCTGCCCACTTCTTTAGACTTGGTGGCCTGTGATATCGATATAATTCTGAATCGAAGAAACTGCATGGCCGCCACCCTGCAGATCATCGAGAAGAACTTCCCCCAGGTGAGACCTCATGCCCAGTGCTGACCTATGGTAGGAGGTGAAACAGATGGGGGCGGGGAGGGGGAAGGAGCAGGGCAGTAAGGGGCATGTGGAGGGCAGAGTTGTCTCCAGGACCCCAGATAATAGGAACTGAGGCTCAAACTCTTCTTCCCCACAAGCTCTTGTCACTGAACCTGTGCAGCAACAAGTTATACCGGCTGGACGGTCTGTGCGACATTGTGCAGATGGTCCCCACAATCAAGATCCTGAAGCTCTCCAGAAATATGGTGAGAACAGGGAGTCAAAGCAAAGTTTCCTCGGGGAGGGGTAGTGTTTTCAGAGTGATGACAGGAGTCAGCCATGTGACCATGGAGGAAGTTGGGATTTGGGCACAGCAGCCCAGATGACTCATAACACATTTTCCAATTTCCTCCCATATTTCTCAGCTGAGATTGACATGGGAAGTGAGCAAGATGAAAGGGCTGAAACTTGAAGAACTTTGGCTGGATGGGAACCCTTTGTGTGACACTTTCCCAGACCAGTCCACCTATGTGAGGTCAGTGGGAACCCCCAGATACCCTACCTGGGGACTTTCACCTGGGAACCTCAGCTACCCTGGACAGTGCTTCTCTGCAGTTCTGGGAGAAGCACAAATCCATCTCTCTCCTCTCCCACCGGGTCCCTCACCTGTGCTCAGAGGCCTCCTCTGCTTCCTCCGAGCTGCTGGCGGTTCTCCTAGCCTGGGGCCTGGCTGAGTCTGCATCCAGCCTCCTCCAGTGCACCCTGCCAAGCGCGTGCCCCAGGAAGCAGGGCTTCCCCTCCTCACCAGCCCCCAGTCATCAGCCTTGAGCCCAATGTGGTGCCCCAGACTAAGAAGGGTCATCTGGCCCAGGCCTGGTGCTGAGAGAGGCCTTCTTGCCTTGTGCTGGGACC